GGATGTTTTGCAGAAACTTGTGAGTGTTCTCTCTAATGGATTATGTTGGTGATTAGGGGTATGTTCCTTCTAGAGCTTCTCCATTTGAACTTCGCAGGAAAATCAGTCTGTTGATAAGCACTTAGATATTTGTTGATCAACTGCTTGTTGCTACTTACGGGTAATGGCAGAAGCCTACTTTTGAACACTGAGGGCTTCCCTTCAGCGTGTTTTGGGTGTCAGATAGCAATTCCCACAAAAGGCTTGCTGAAGGCAATGTTCTTTAACCTACTAAAACTAAAATATATGCACAACTTACAGTTGTATTTTAATACCTAAACACCTAAATTTTAATGCTGCCCTTTCTCTTTATTATGGGCTGAATAGGGCTTTCAAACAGTTCAGAAAGATTTCACACAGACAGTGTGTGAATGTGAAAGTGGACAGACTAAACTACATTTGCTTTGTCTTCATTTGCATCAAGGAGGAATAAGCAGTCTGTACTTTCATATAGGCATATGCTAACATTCGTGTTAGACCATCATTTGAGCCTCAGGAGAGGTACCGCTCCTGTATGGCAGAGGTTGTGCTAGTGAAAGGTGGAAGGCTAGAAACACTGATATTTTTCCTCAACAGCAAAGCATAGGAAGGCTCCAACTACCTTTTCTTACCAGAATTTAGTCTGTCACTGTTTTGATTTTTGGGGGGGGAGGTGTGATGGTGTCTGAATACTGTAAGAATTGCTAGCGCTTACGTATTTGTATGTTCACCTTTTCAAGATGATGCTTGTAGATCACTTCTCCATGAACTTCACGGAATCATAGAATGCTTTGGGTTAGAAGGAAGCTTTAGAGGTCATCTAGCCCAACCCCACTGCAGTGAGCAGGGACATCTTCAACTAGAGCAGGTTGCTCAGAGCCCTGTCCAACCTGGTCTTGAATGTTTCCAGGGATAGGGCCTCCACTATGTCTCCGGGCAACCTGTGCCAGTGTTTCATCACCCTCACTGTAAAAAATTTAGTCCTTATAGCCAGTCTGAATCTACCCTCTTTTAGTTTAAAACCATGACCCCTTTGTCCTATCGCAACAGGCCCTTCTAAAAAGTCCCTCTCCATCTTTCTTACAGACCCCCTTTAAGTACTGAAAGGCCGCAATAAGGTCTCCCCAGACCCTTCTCTTCTCCAGGTTGAACAGCCCCAACTCGCTCAGTCTTTCCTCACAGGAGAGGTGTTCCATCCCTCAGATCATTTTTGTGGCCTCCTCTGGACCCACTCCAACAGGTCCATGTCTTTCTCATGCTGAGGACTCCAGAGCTGAATGCAGGACTCCCGGTGAGGTCTCACCAAAGGGAAGTAGAGGGGCAGAATCCATTTTGATGCAGTCCAGGATATGGTTGGCTTTCTGGGCTGCAAATGCACACTGACAGATCATGTTGAGCTGCTTATCGTCAAACACCCCCAAGTCCTTCTCCTCAGGGCTGCTTTCAGTCCCTTCATCCCCCAGCTTGTGTTGGTACCAGGGCTAGCCCCGACCCATGTGCAGGACCTTGCACTTGGCGTTGTTGAGCCTCATGAGGTTCACATGGCCCACTTCTTGAGCTTGTCCAGGTCCTGCTGGATAGTATCCAGTCCTTCAGGCGTGTTGACCTCACCACTCAGCGTGGTGTCATCTGCAAACTTGCTGAGGGTGCACTTTTCCTCTCTAAGTCATTAATGAAAATGTTCAACAGCACCGGTCCCAGTACGGACCCCTGAAGGACACCACTTGTCACTGGCCTCGATCTGGACATAGAGCTGTTGACCACTACCCTCTGGCTGCGACCTGCCAACTAATTATTCATCCGCCAAACAGTCCACCCGTCAAATCCGTCTCCCATTTACAGAGAAGGGTGTTGTGGGGGACCGTGTCAAAGGCCTTACAGAAGCCCAGACAGATGACATCCGTAGCTTTTGCCCTGATGTAGTCACTCCATTGTAGAAGGCCACGAGGTTGGCTGTCTCAAATCACTTCCCTGTCCTCCATGTGCCTTAGCCCAGCTTCTAGGAGGACCTATTCCATGATCTTCCCAGGCACTGAGGTGAGGCTGACAGGTTGGTAGTTCCCAGGGTCCTCCTTCCTACCCTTTTTAAAAGTGGGCACAATGTTTCACTTCCTCCAGTCACCAGGGACTTCGCCTGACTGCCATGACTTTTCCAGTATCATGGAGAGTAGCTTAGCAACTACATCAGCCAATTCCTTCAGGACTCTGAGATGCATTTTTGTCAGGTCCCACAGACTTACGTATGCGTTGTATGTCTTACATATGTATTTCAGACTTCAGTCTTAAAGAGTTGTTTATAACTGGTAGTTGCATTTGCTTCTTGATGTCTTTAGGGTTTAAGGTAAGAGACTGAGGCTTTGCTTTGATGTTAGTGCCTTTGTTAAGACAAGCAGTAGTGAACTGCTAATAGGTTGATTCCCTGATCTTGAAATTCTGTCTCTGGAATTAGAGATAGGCTTTGTTTCCTTTGCATGCTCTCATGGGGTAAGATTTAGGCTATGTGAAGGAACAGAGTGGTGAGGATATATGAGGCTTATTTTAATTCCGGTTTCTGGCTGGCATTTCGATCTCTAGATCTAAAGACAGACTTGTAAATGTTGAGGGGGGGGAAGAAAAACATTTTCCAGCTCTGCCAGGCTTTGCTGGCACACTTCATGTTGTAAGCATGTTGATCCTGTTGTCTTCCATAATTATCTAAGAAAACTTGAAATGCATATAGGTGGAACAAAAATCATTGTTGTTTAATTGCAAAAATGAGAGCTTCAGTGTGGGAATGCATGAAATGGTCATGCTGTTTTAGAATTTGAAAGTTACTTTGAAGGATAAAGTAACTCACTGACAATTCTTTGTTATTTTAACTTCCTGTTTTATCTTTTGTAACCTTTGAGACTTTATATATTGTACCATTTTTCTGTGCTGTGATTCTCCCCAACACCCCTCCCCTAGCATATTTTCTGGAATTTATGCTCAATCTTTTCAGTCAGACAAGGTATATGGTTTATTCTAACAAATGCCAAATGAGCAGATCTCCTGTGTTTGTGTGATATATTCTTTATTTGCAGTAAGAAAATACATCTGTTACTCCCCAGAAGAGTTGGGCTTACTGTGGGTGCTTTATAAGCACTATACCTGAGTAAACTTGTTTGCTCCATCATCACCCCCAGTAACAATGGTAGAAAGAAGGTGGATGTTGCCCCGAGAACAATATATGCAATCTGCACATGACCATCCTCTTTTCTGAAGCAAAGATAAGTTAAATTTATCAAAATAGAGTGGGGGAAAGAAAAAGTGTAAATAAAAATATCAAATCAGTGTAACTCTTGCGCTATACAGTGCTTTGCACTGATAGGTCAGTATTCAGGGTTTTTGGAAAATCTGGCATGTAAAACAATCTCAAAATCAGTGTGAATCATATCTAATAATAACAGTTCAAAAGACTTTTGAACATGTTTATCTGACAGCAGAAGGTCTTAATGACTGTACAAGGAAGAGAAATGATAGAAAGCCAACAAAATTTCAGTAGTACATGTTTATGGAATAAGCAACTAATTTATTCACAAGATACAAAGAACATTCGTTTCCAAATTGATATTTGTGAAAACTCATACCACCACCCCTTAGGTAAGTGGTGGTACAGGCTTTTGTCCCTTGGGACAGGGAATAGGAGGAGGTCAGGGAACAGATACTGAAAAATAGTAGCTTCTGATGTTATCTTGTGGTCGCTTTGAGATTTCAGACTGGCCTGAAGTTTTTTCAGAACATTGCTTCTCTTTTGAGAGCTGGTGGGAACTGAAGACATTCGGGGTGTTTGAAAGCAATCCGGTTTTATGTGAAAGAAAGTGGGACTTACGATGAAATCTGACAGAGGATTTGTGGATTTGGCAATATCTAGCGGATTTTTATTGGTTTTAGAAGTGTAATTCAGAATGCTGCATTAGACTAGGCTGTACAGGAAGAGTGAAGCCTCTTTGAAGAGAATCACATGGTGACCTGAGGGCTGTCTGGAGCTAGATTTATTAAAATGTTCAAGACAGGGATGTGTTTTGCTGTTGTCTCAGAACCAGTATCAGGAACTTAAATTGGCTTAGACAGTAGGAGGGGTCCTGGAAAGGTAAATGTTTACAGTCTCCCATGTCCCGTCCCGTCCCCCCCCCCGTCCCCCCCCAATCCAATAAAACTGAGCAGGGATAGCTCTTTTCAGATTGAGATGGTATCAAGAAGGAGCACTTCACTCCTGTCTGGTAATTCGAAGGTTCTGACTCTCACCTAGGAAGTGGAAGTTCAAACCTACCTCCACAATTTACCAGATAAATGCACAACCAAGGGATTGTAGGTTGAGGTCTTTTCCTCTTCTGTTAAAGGTGTTTGTTAACATGTGGAGACTGAGGGAGGGAAACCATACGGTAACTATCATGACAAGTGGTTAGTGCAATCATGTGTTGTGAAGGAAGGGGTTTGGGTACCTTCCGTTCCCACCCCACCCCAATTAAATAGCCCTGTAAGCAGACCCTACCATTTGGGAGTACCTGCTTGGGCTTGGTTGTGAGAATTCAGCAGAAATAAAACTAGGGTAGACCTTTGTAAATGCAGAATGGGTGTGTACAATATTTTTCAAAACCAGGAAAACAGCACGTTTTTAATTTAGGCACTTCATGGATTAAGCAGAAGATGAACAGAGGCTTTTTTGGGGAGAAGGGATAATGATTTTTAGACTTGGGGATTTCAATTGTGCCTAATTCCGGCTTAAATTCTGCATGTGAGTATTCTGCTGAAAATGTTAGTCACTGCTGTTAATCACTAAATTGCCTTGTGGATTTTGAATAACAGTACATTAGCTTAAGCCTCTGTGCACAAATGCATTTGCTCTCAAGATTGCCTGAATGAAACTAAGAAAAATAATCTTCTAATGTCAGATAGTCATTTAGGTTTTCTGAATTGTTTCTCTTGGACAGAATTTTAATATGTTTTAAATGTATTCATAGGTAAAAACATCAGAGTTTTATCGATACTCCCGGCAGCTGCGACATGAGGTTGACCAAGCCATGAATTACTTTCATAGCGTTCACCAACAGCCTTTGATGGAAATGAAATCGAACAAAATTCGTTCTGCCAAACCCCAGACTGCAGTATTTAGAGGAATGATAGGACACAGTATGGTAAACAGTAAAATTCTTCTCTTGCACAAACCAAGGGTCTGGTGGGAACTAGAGGGTCCTCAAGTACCTTTACGACCAGACTGCCTTGCCATTGTGAATAACTTTGTGTTCCTATTAGGTGGGGAAGAGCTGGGGCCAGATGGTGAGTTTCATGCTTCATCCAAAGTGTTTAGATATGACCCAAGACAGAACACTTGGTTACGAATGGCAGACATGTCTGTTCCACGTTCTGAGTTTGCTGTTGGAGTTATTGGGAGGTATGTTTATGCAGTGGCTGGGAGAACCAGGGATGAAACGTTTTACTCGACTGAACGGTATGATATTACTGAAGATAAATGGGAATTTGTGGATCCCTATCCAGTCAATAAATATGGACACGAAGGGACTGTGCTTGGTAACAAGTTGTTTATCACTGGTGGAATTACATCATCTTCAACTTCTAAGCAAGTGTGTGTGTTTGATCCCAGTAAAGAAGGGACAGTAGAGCAGCGAACAAGGAGAACTCAAGTGGTCACTAACTGTTGGGAGAACAAATGCAAAATGAATTATGCAAGATGCTTTCACAAAATGATTTCTTATAATGGTAAGCTTTATGTCTTTGGTGGTGTCTGTGTGATCCTGAGGGCCTCCTTTGAATCTCAAGGATGTCCTTCTACAGAGGTTTATGACCCAGATACTGATCAATGGACTATATTGGCTTCTATGCCAATTGGTAGGAGTGGTCATGGTGTAGCTGTTCTGGACAAACAGATAATGGTTCTTGGAGGCCTTTGTTACAATGGTCATTACAGTGATTCAATTCTTACCTTTGATCCAGAGGAAAACAAATGGAAAGAAGATGAATATCCGAGGATGCCGTGCAAGCTGGATGGCTTACAAGTCTGCAGCTTGCACTTTCCTGAATACGTTTTGGAGCATGTTAGACGTTGCAGCTAAAACAGAATGAACAACCCAATGAAATACAGAAAGCTATACCTAATTTGTCAAAAAAAATACAATCAGTTGATTTCCTTCAGAGACATTACCTTGTGTGTAAGAACAACTGCTAAATGCTTAAGAGATTAAGCATGTAAGAGATGTACAGGGAGTGTACTTACCAAGTTTATTAGAAAAGCTGGTAGTTGGTCTGATATTGTAAAAGCTTTGGTTTTTTTAACAAACATAATTGTAAGTAGGGGAAAGAAAAATATATTTTTGAGTGTGCTTGTTTTTTTGGTAACATTTTATGTCCATAGTGCTTTCTTCCTTTTTTTTTATGGCCATTATACCACTATGCTTCTGAAATCAGCATAGAATTTGTGGAAAGAAGAGAAGAAAGACTTTATTTTTATTTTTTAATTGAGCGTCAAAATAAAACTGTTCATCTGTGCTAGGGTACAACCAGGTATAAAATAACAAAGCTAAACCATTTCTGTATTCTATGTTGGTGTTTTGGATGCTTTTCCCATTAATTGCAAAGTATTCTCAAATCTACTAGGTGTTTTTGTTTTCCCTTTTCTACGTTGAAGAATAATCTTATTCCCTTTGCATGACCTTTTTCCTGGTTTTGTATAGTAGTACCAGTAAGTCTGCCAAAATGCAAATTACAGATTTTCTACTAAATTGAAAACAAAACATTTTTGTTATCAAAACACTGTTTCTATGCTGCCTTCTATTGTCTGCATTGTGTTTGTTGGCGAGTAACAAATATATACACACACGCGTGTACACTGTAAAAACTATATTGAAATACATCTTTTTATGTGCAGTTACAATATTATATTTTAAGTAGTGCACAGATTCAGCCATATCTGTTGATTTTAAGTTATAGTACTATCCTTTAATTAGCTAAGTAATTTGAAGATCTTAAGTAACTGGAGGCCTCGTTTGGTATCAAAGCATCTTATCTTTAGTATATACTGATTGATTCAGTAACTTTAAACTCTTTATATTGATGCTACATAATGAACTGTTGATAATTTGTTCTTTTATAAATTATTTTTTAAAAAGTAAACACATCTTACCTGAGTTTCTTTTGTGTTTGAATGTGCTGCCCACTTTTATTTTTTTTGTAAATGGAAAATGTCAATAAGCAAATGTTCAGCACTGTGTCAACCCACAGTTATTTTCAGAACTGGATATACTACGGTTTATTCTCAGTACTTTGCTTGTACTTCAGTACGAGTACTCTGTTTATACTCGTATTGATGTGGTACGATCTTTTATTATTATTTTAATTATCAACTGCTATGAACTACTGTGTTTTGAAAATGTGGAGTTAGGTGGTTGGATGGTTAGCACCATTTATGTTTCTTTTACAAAAAATCCCACACAACTATAGCTACTGACCTTAGTGTGCCTGAATCGAGGTGGTCCAAGAGGGCTTTGAATAACTCCATTGTGTTAATGTGCAGATATTGCTGACAATAGATTGGTAAGAATTATCTGCCAAGACATAAATAATAACAGTAATTACATTCTGATTATTTTTAATGATGTGAAATTAGCCACTTCTAGAATCTAAAAGGGAGATTTAGAGAAGTTGAAGGCTCACACTTAGTTCAGATGTGTAGGGGCAAAATGCTGAAACGTGCACCTGCATATTTTGTAAAATCTTTTGCTGCTGTGTTTCACTTAAAGCAATAGACTTGACTTTATGTGCAGCAATGCAAAACTACTTTGTTCAGCATCTTCCAGTCAGAAATCACTGTAGAAAAGGAATGTACAGTACTCAGGGAGTTCAAAAGAATGCACTTACAAAAGGACCAAAATCACCCTAAATTTCCTATGTTAAAAGAACACCTACTTGCCTAAACGAAGTTTGAAATCATTGATAGAAGTTAAAATCCTCATACCTGTATTTTGATATTTTTGTAATAATTATGTTCTGGGTTGAGATGTGAGAATTTGGAACTATATGGCAAGTTGTCAGATTTTTTAATTAGAAGTGATTTATTGAGTATTTTCTTTCTGTATGTTTTAACAGAAAGAGAGAATGTATGCCATCATAGCTGTAGTGGTAAGTTACTTACACCAGTAGTGAGTGGACCAAATATTGATATTCAGCCTTCTGATGCAGACTAGTTTGCGGTTAAATTTAAGTCTTTTTTAAATCAAAATTTAGTTTACCGAATTAGAAATCTAATTTACTTTCTTAACAGCTTAACTTAAAGCCAGTGTGGTTTATGCTAAAACCTCAGTTTCACTGTGAGACTTGTGTGTACATTACCCTGCACGGGTGCAGAGACAAACTGACTCACGTAGGTGCTGGCTGTGTGCAAATAAAAAGGTTCTACTGTACATGGAATATCGGGGCACAATGAAACAACAAGGTATATTTTATTGTTTTTATTCTTTTTGTCACCAGCTTGTTTCTCAATAAGTTTATGGGGCAGCAAAAATTAATGCTGTTTGAGTAGGCTTTCATGGGCATGCTATGTGTAGTGCGGAGTACTTCACTTTCCTCCAGGGCCAGTCTGGGGAATGGACGTGGTTCTCGATATCTGGTCTTCCATGATTCAGGTGCGGTACAGAGACATGGCCAAGACTTTATCAAAAATAATGGTAAGGATAGGGGTGTCTCAAGGTAACCTTTTGAGTCTGCATTTAAGCACCTTCTGAAGTTCTGTGCGCTAAGCAACTGCCGCTAAAGTAATTGGTGAGTATTTCTACTTGAAATGTGAAGAACCAGATCATTTTTAGGTGCTCCTTTTTTAAGTTCGTATTTATCTTCAGGCACCTAGTTCTGAAAGATCTTGTTCAGGATTGAAATAGCAATTATTCTGTGAAATTCTAACTTGAACTGTTGGTTTCAGCTTCCCTGACGTTGTGTCTTCATTGAGAAGCTGGCTGTAACCTTTCAGCATTAGGAGTGATTGGAATTGCTTGGATTTTGAACATGTAGAGGAATGCGAGAATGTTTTGTTAATTTACATTTCTACCATTCTTTCATTGTTTCAAACATGAAATATGAAATTGGCTTACATTCTCTTTTCCATTGCAGTGGAACTTTTGAGGCAGTTATTTTTGTTACTTCATGTATCAGAGGGATATTTTTCTTTTTTTCTGATTGAAAGTTTCTTTTTGTGATTGGTTTTAGGGTTTAGCTCCAGCTAATTTAGTGCTTAAACAAAAACAAAACTAGGGTAGCTAATAAGAATTGCCTATTACTATAAAATTTTGAGCATTATGATCAGATTTAAGATGAGTTTTTAAAACATTTAAATGCCTCTTATTTGTCAAGGAAAAGGTAAGTTACGATCTTTGATTATTTATTAAGTTGAGGGGGTGGGGTGTTCTGTTCCCGCCCCAACCATAATGAAATACCAGCAAATCTAATCTCATCCACATATTTAAAATTTAGCAGGACCTGCTTTTAAGCAGCAAGTGTACTTGCCTTTTCTTGAAAAGGTGGACATAGTGAGTTACAGTCTAGGGTTTTTTTTTTCACATTTATAGCAAAAATGTATCAGCTTCGTGTCTTAATTTAGCAAGTAGCTCCAGGAGGAAATTTTGTTTTCAAGTGAGCCAGAAGAGACAAAAAGCATAGTGCTCCTGTGAAGGGGTTGGACACTGCCAGTTCCTATTGCCCCTGCTGCTATATCGGTTTTTAGGGGACGGATAATTTTTTTCAAAGTACTGGATAAGGAAAAAATAGCTCATTTTCCCCTGCAACGTGTTGGTAGTAGTTTCATAGTGGGAGGCGTCGAGTGGCAAAAAAACCTTTTCAAACTTTTTTCCCCAGTGATTCAGCTGGAGGAAGGCAGTACTTGGTTTTACAAAGGCTCTGCCATTTCAGAAAGCACTGCTAGCGAGAGAGGCGAGTGGCAGCACAGGAGCTACCTGGCAACCTGCTTTTGTGTTACTTTTTTTGAAACGTGTGGATGCCCTACTTTCTGCAGTATGATAGCAGTCCTGTTATAACTATCTCTAAGGGTTTGTGACTTTAATATTTCTCTGGTTTCTGAGATTTGCAGACATTTTTCTTGAGGACCTCCTGCCTTACAAACCCAAGTGCTGCATTTTTTTCATGCTGATAATATGATAACTACTTGCATCAGGGATGAAGCTTCACTTGACGCTCAGGAAGCAAAGGATAACTTTCAGCAGGTACAAATTCAAATTGGTTTAAAAAGAAAAACGTTGCCTAACTCATTATGTCCATTCTTTTGCAAAAGGAAGGTCAGCGTTATGGGGAGATACTAATGGCTCTTTAAACTTCAAAGCTTGTGTCAGCGTTTATATGACAAAGTCTTTTTAGAAATAGTCACATTTGTAGCAGTATTTTTGCCTTTTTAATATATTTTTCTTTACAAAAAAAAAAATTCCAAAAACTAGTGAATTGGGCCCCTGATTCTTGTAACACTTCAAGTGTGTAATTCACATGTGAACAGTCCAATATGAAGAAAACGGAAACCTGTAAGGTATTTAAAAGAAAACATAAAAGCACAAATGTTGTTAAACCTGTGCTTAAGTGTTTATAGGGTTGGGGACATCAAAGAAAACATCCATCCTGCTCTCCTTCCATTAATAAAAATACAGAGGGTGAAGTTACTTAAATAAGTGTGGTCCATCACATGTGTCAGGGCTCACTGAAGGAGAGTGGGGAGAATATAACTGGAAAGCACGTGTAATCTATTTAAAACAAAGCTTGCCAGTGTCCTGTAGCTAACATTGTGAGATTTTAATGTTTGTAAAACAATCTGAAGCTGCTTAAAATAAATACTGATGACTACTTTTGCATCTGTATTTTTGAAAGTTGGTGAGCAACTTTAAAATTTCCATTTGTGTGGGTAAACTTCATAAAACTGACTTGTTTTGAGCACAGCTTTCCTGGGTTTTCCTTTTACTAAATTTTTTTTTTTCACTTCCCAAATTTCAATTAATGTTTATATAGTCTTTTAAAAATGACTTTCAAAGATAAATTTCAAATTCCTTTTGGAGTAATATTAAGTTGGTAGCTAGGGGAAAACCACTTCTATTTGCAGATGGTAGTTTTTATTTATGGCTTTAGTAGAAAACC